AATATGCTGACTCTCTGTAAACCGCATAGAGAGGCCTGAAAGGCCTATGAAGCGGTATATAAGTCTACTGCTATTGCTATTGCTATTGCTATAACAGGCAAAAAAAAATCTAGCAAAATATCACAACTTATGTTTACATGACTATGGAATGTTGCAACTACTTTTAAAGTTGAATTGATTTCCAAGCGCCTGAAAAATAGTTATGTGACCACATAGTGGAAATTCAACATTTTATATTACAGTCTATCATAACATCAAATGATTGTTAAACAATGGTAATTTATCATGTTACTGCAATTCAAATATAATACCAAAAGTTAATTTTGAACTCTAAAGTATGTCATGCCTGCTGAGATGAGGACATAAGTAGTTCACAAAAGGACTGAGGCATTCTAAAAACATAAGTGGGTGACATTTTGCAAATGAAATAATGATAAAGAATTATTCTATTTCACTATCTTTATTACCAGAGAACACGTTCAGATATTAGATAGTATTTATGCCTGAGACTGATCATATTATTCATATTCTACCAAATTCATTGGAAGTTTTTCTTCACCTATTTCATCTCTTGGAGTTTCCAGGAAATTCAAGAACCAACCCACAATTCAAGAAGCATTCTACAGACCACCTCTTTCCCCACCAACCCACACAGTGCTTAACAAAGTATTCAACAGCTCTATCCCCAAGAGTGCAGGTAAATTCCCAAACACATTTTAAAAATATTCCAGATCTACCAAAATCCTGGGGCAGGCCATTTAAACTGACCCATCCTTCCAATGGAGGCTGGCAACAATTTACTCCATAGTCATGAGAAAAATATCTAGGCATAGCAAAAGACTGATGGGAATGTCTCTTTACTGAAAACATGTCTCCAAATCTAGTGTGCAGTTGGCTATGTAGGCCTTTCTATGATTTTATATCTATTGCCAATCCATAGTGATTCCCTTTCCTATAATAATAATAATAATAATAATAATAATAATAATAATAATAATAATAATAATAATAATAATAATAATAATAATAATAATAATAATAATTGCTTCTAATTGATAAAATGATATTAGAAAATTGTAAAAATGATCCCACTATCAGTAATCTTAAAAAAAATGNTAGAAGAGGTAGTTCATATTTGTTTTAAAAAATCAATTAATAATTGATATTTTTTCCAGATTACCACCCCATTGAGGCAAGATGGATGGATCTACAATAGTTATGGGGGCACAGTTAAAAGATTGAAAAAAAACAAGTTGGAAGCAAAGATTCATGGACAAAATCTGTCTATGTGACTTATATGATATGGTACCAATTTGATGCCACATAATCAAATAATGTCATTTAGAAATGTATCATGGAAAACAAAACTACTGTGACTGAATTTCTTCTTTTAGGACTTTCTGATGACCCAACAACCCAAGTTTTCTTGTTCCTGGTTTTTTCATCAATCTACTTAATAACCTTAGTAGGAAATATGATCATCATATTGGTAATAAGGGCTGATCCTCAATTACACACTCCAATGTATTTCTTTCTTATTAATTTATCATTCCTTGACATCTGCTATTCTTCTGTAACAGTTCCCAAAATGCTACAGAATCTCCTGGCTACTAAAAAGACAATTTCTCTCTCTGGCTGCATAGCTCAAGTTTTTTTCTTTATTTTCATGATTGGAACAGAGATCTTCTTACTTTCAGCAATGGCGTATGATCGTTATGCTGCTATATGCTACCCACTGAGATACAACACCATTATCAATCACCGTTTATGCATCCAAATGGTTCTGGTTGCATGGCTGTCAGGTTTCCTGGATTCCTGTGTCAATACACTTTTTTTAACTAACTTATATTTCTGTGGTCCCAGTAACATTACCCATTTCAGCTGTGAGTTACCTCTGCTATTGCAGCTGTCTTGCACTAGTACTTTTGCCAATGAAATGGTCATTCTTATCTTTAGCATGCCATTGGGATTTGCTGCCCTTCTCCTAATTATAGCTTCCTATGTACGTATTGTTGGCTCTATTGTCAAGATAAATTCTGCAAAAGGAAGGCAGAAGGTATTCTCTACTTGTGCTTCCCACCTCACAGTAGTTTTCTTGTTTTGTGGGACTGCTTTCATTAGATACATGAAACCTGCCTCTGGCTATTCAGACACCATGGACAAGCTTGTGTCAATCCAGTACAGTATCCTAACCCCCATGTTAAACCCCATTATATACAGTCTGAAAAACAAAGATGTAAAAAATGCTCTAAAAAAGCTTTTTAGAAAGTGACTTCAAAAAGATCTTTGAACTTACTAAATTTTGATATTTCCTTAATGAAGAAAGATAATGCATTAAGGAAGAAATAGCAAGACTGGCAACTATGATATGGCAGGCATCCTTAAATTACTAGCTGCAATTGTCACTTTCTTCTACAATTTTATCCACTCCCTTTAAATTATGGGATGGGGTTAACTCTGGAAGGGCTTGCACTTCTAGGGCTTTCATCTCTTCACTTACAGTTTATTACTTCAACCAAACAATAGAGATATTCAAGAAGATCCCATAATATAGAATGTCATATTTATTAAGACCAATGCATTAAGACTTCAAGGCTGATAGTTTAAGATAATCGTGACTCCAATTTCATTTTTTATGGAGCTGAATGTACTGAGTCAGAGAAGGGCATTCTAATCTAATAAAAGGCTCTTTGGTGCTACTGAACTTATATATTAAAGCATGTTAAGGCTATTAAATTAGGAAACTGCAAGCAAAACTCAAAGTTCACTATACCCATTCCAATCCCCAGTTCTCCTTTATCTAAACATGTTGAACCACTTTGAAGATATATCTCTTTATTGCTACTTAAAGTAAATTACAATTGTTGGGAAAGTTGTCAATTAAAAATCTAAGGAAAGGTTTCATTATTAATAGCAAAATTAGGCTATTTGACTCTGGACTGAAAGATAATAATCTGGGTGATTTATGGTAAAAAAAAAGTATCTGTATGACTTTCTATGGGTAAATTACAATGTCAGACTGTCAACAAAGTGTTTTCAATTTTTATTTTGCTGTTATTGAAACTGTTATCTATTTTTTCACATATATATCTAACAGGTTATTTGGGTATACAAGCATATATATTTGCTTGTGGAAGCTATTATTGCTGCAATAGTTTTGACACTATTCAAATAGGGGGAATAATATGTGTTTCTATCATTTTTGTAATTAATACATTTTTAATATTTTTGTTTAGTTTAGTTTTGCCTCTGCTTATTTATTTTATTTTTTTCCAATGAAATGGTAGTTTTCATCTTTAGCATACCATTAAGGTTTGCTGCCCTTTTTGTAATTATAACTTCCAATGTTGACATTGTTGGTTCCATTCTGCTGAAGGGAGGCAGAAGGCATTTTCTGCTTCCCATTTCACAGTAATTTTGTTTTGTGGGAATGCTTTCATTAGATACATGAAACCTGCCTCTGGCTATTGAAACAAGCTAGTGTCAATCCAATCCAGTCAACCCTATGAAGTCCCTATGCTGGACCTCATTATATAAAGTTTGAAAAACAAAGGTTTGAAAAACTATCTAAAGATTGTTTTGGAAAGTGAATTCAAAGAACCCTCTGATTTTATTAAATTTTGAGATTATTTTGATGAAGTGTCTCCTGCTTGAATGGGGCTTCCTAGGTCTACTGCTTGAGCAGGGAGTTGGATTAAAGAGCTTCAAGGTCCCTTTCAAATGTGTTGTGTTATATTTAGCAAATCAAAGAGAAGAGTTAGGGGAGATGTGATAACTGTCCTCCAGTACTTGAAGGACTATCACAGAAAAGAAGGGGGTGAGTTTAGGTGCTACTCTCTATGGCACCTGAAAGCAGGACAAGAAGCAATGGGTGAAAGTTCATTAAATATAAATTAAACCTGGAACTAAGGAGAAATTTCCTGACAGTGAGAACAATTAATCAATGGAATAGATTGCCTATTTTGTGCAGCTGCTTATGAATTAAAAACAATTGACTCTGCCTTAATTGTGATCTGCTGAACATGGCACACTAAGAGCCATAATGTCTTCTATTTAATAAAGTTTTTACTCTTAAAATTTCTTTTAATTAATACACACACACACAAACACACATATATAAATTATTCTGTCCCTTCTTTTGCATCCATTTTTAAATTATTCTATTACACTATTTCTTTAATATTAGTGTAACTCTTGTCCTGCAGTGAGTTGTCCTATGGTGAATTGACTGTGGGGAATTATTCTGCAGAGAGTTGGCAATAGCGAGTTGGCTGTGACAAACTGTCATAGACTCTTTTCTCTTAGCTTTTTGCCTTATAGAATTATGGAAAACAAGTAGTCCTTGACTTTTATGACATGAACAACTTTTATGGTAACAAGTCAAGGCATGAATGTGACTGAATGTGATTTTTCAACACTTTTTGTGATGGACATAAACTAAATCCCTATGGTCATTAAGTGAACCTATGATCACTAAGTGAATACTGTGGTCATAAGTCATAAATACTGTGGTCATAAGAGCCAAGGTGGCGCAGTGGTTAAATGCAGCACTGCAGGCTACTGCTAGATCAGCAGGTCAGCGGTTCAAATCTCACCGGCTCAGG